TATCCCTTCTTGAGTGTCCGCAAAACCAACGCAACATCCGCATCTCTGCTACACTTAGTTGTTGGACATGTTGCCTTTTTGTAGGCCAACATTCAGCACCGTATAGTATCGTCGGACGAATCGCCGTCCTATAGAACTTACCTTTAGCCTTTGTGGCACCCTCTTATCACAGAGAACGCCTGAAGCTTGACGCCATTTCAACCAACCGACTGCAATTCTATGCCTAACATCCTCATCAATGCCGCCATCCTTTTTTAGCATCGATCCTAAATATCGGAAAGTCTCCTTCTTGGCCACCATTTGCCCGTCAATGCTAACGTCACCATCATCATGAGTAGCCATGCTGAAAGCGCACGTCATGTACTCGGTCTTCGTCCTACTAAGTCTGAAGCCTTTCGACTCGAACATATCCTTCCACAACTCTAACTTCCTATTTACCCCTGCCCTACTCTCGTCAACTAGCACCACATCATCAACAAAGAGCATACACCAAGGGATATCACCTTTATCCCTTGTATGTCCCTTGTGGCCCCATCCATCACCAAAGCAAATAAATAAGGGCTCAATGCTGACCACTGGTGTAGTCCTATTTTAATTGAGAAATCGCTAGTATCTCCCCCACATGTTCGGACACACGTCATCGCATCCTTGTACATATCCTTGATGAGGGTAATGTACTTTGATGTTGTGCTTTTCTAAGACCCACCACATGACATTCCTCGGTACTCTGTCATAAGCCTTGACAAGGTCGATAAAGACCATGTGCAAGTCCTTCTTTCAGTCCCGATATCTCTTCATCAACTGTCGTATTAGGAAAATCGCCTCCATGGTCGACCTTCCAGGCATAAACCCAAATTGGTTTTGGGTCACACTCGTCACTCGTCGTAGGATGCTCGATAACCCTCTCCCAAAGCTTCATCCTATGGCTCATCAACTTAAGCCCACGGTAGTTACCACAGCTTTGAACATCACCCTTGTTCTTGAAGATCGGTACTAAAGTACTTCTCCTCCATTCATCAGGCATCTTGTTTGACCGGAAGATGAGGTTAAAAAGCTTAGTTAACCATACTAACGCTCTAGCGCCCAAACATCGCCACACCTCAATAGGGATACCATCAGGGCCTATTGCTTTACCTACCTTCATCATCTTCATAGTCTCTCTGATCTCTGCCTCTCGGATTCTCCTCACCAAGCATCTATTGGTATTCTCAAATGAGTCAACCAACTCCAAAGTAGGACCCTCGCTCTCCCCATTAAACAATTTGTCGAAGTACTCTCGTCATTTGTCATTGATCTCCCCATCCTTCACCAGTGGCCGATCCGACCCATTTTTTATACATTTGATTTTATTGATATCCCTTGTCTTCCTCTCCCGAATCCTAGTTATCCTATAAATATCCTTCTCCCCCTCCTTCGTGCCTAGACGCTGATAAAGGTCATCATAGGCCTGACTCTTCGCTACACACACGGCACGCTTTGCAGCCCTCACTATTTTATAGCACTCAATGTTGGTTGCACTCTTGTCGAGGTGGAGACGCTTGAAACACTCTTACTTCTCTTAAATAGCCTTTTGCACCTCGTCATTCCACCACCAAGTGTCTTTCGCATCCTGCTTGTCTCCCCTACTCACACCAAGTACTTCTACAGCCACCTTCCGTACACATGTTGCCATCTTTAGCCACATGTCATCAGCATCTTCTCCCCCAAGGCCCCTCGCCTAGCATCCTATCCCTAAACGTCTGCGCCGCTTCCCCTTTAAGCTTCCACCACTTCGAGGAGGAATTTTCATTTTTTCACAAACAATATCAATAACTTGATGAAGCTATTTCAAAAGGCCAAAATGAAAAGCCATACAAGTTAAACTTATGTTGGAAAAAAAAAAGAAAAAAGAAAAAAAAGGAGTATAATACCTTGCAGATAAGTTGTCCATGAAACCCTCCTACAACAAGCAGGTTATCTTTCGCTGCCAGTGTGCTGACCTGGACCTTCGTAAATCCCTCCATCATACTTCCAGGGTGTTTCTGTTAACCAAAAAAATAAAAAATAAAAAATAAAAAAAGAAAGAAAATAAAGTTAACTGTAGTGATAAAATGTAAAAAAAAAAAAAACATCCTCAAAGCTTCAGATTCAACCTAGTTATATAAAAAACAATGATTTCTTAACTAACATTTCCATATCAAGGGTTAGAATTTCTATGACCACATGATAAGTGGTTAGTTCCAACATTGAAAGACAGCTGGTATAGTTTCACAGTTAGACTAAAACTCTTGTGTACAAGAAAAACATATGAAGTTAAACTTATACCAACTTCAAAATCGCTCACCTCAGAAGGTGCTACATGCCCCGATAGATTAAGAATTTCTGACTTGCTGCAAGTTAACGATGACCAATGCATAACTGAGTAGTGTGACAAGAAGTAAACGTCATGCTTGGATGTCGCCCACACCAAATTCCTCAACTGCAATTAAATAAAAAAAA